TTTTGATATATTGTTTATTTTAAGTATATTTTTTTATCAAGTGCAATACAAAATTGGTATCAATTTTGTAGAGAGAAAAATTTAAAAAAAAATTCTAAAACTTTTCTTTTTAATAAAAATCTGTACAACACTTTTCGACAGAATTTTGGTAAAATTTCGTTGCAAATTGAGACAGAACTTTTCGACGAAAATATATTCCGTCCAAATTTTTGATGAAAATATATTCCGTCCAAATTTTCGACGAAATTGATTAAATAAGTAGTATTTTATGGTTGTCATTTTTCGATGAAATAATCAAACTTGCGATGGAAATTTATTCCGTTGAAATTTTTTGAAGAAAATAAATTGCGTAGAAAATTTTCGACTGAAATAAATTCCATAAAAAAATTTCGATGAGATTTCTAATTTCTTCGAAAAATTTATTATCAACGAAGAGAAATTCAACAGCCTAAATTTCTTTGAAGACTTCATTTTCGACGAAATTTTTTATCGAAATAATGGACTTTTCTAATAATGACCTTGCAACCTTGGGGATCATTCCCAACCACAATAATACCTCTTTAGTTTTATCCTTCTTCTAACACTGTCAATTTCCTCACACCATTTATAAGCATTACTTCAATGCTAAGAACCAAGTGTGTTCATGCTTTTCATGTTTTTTAATTTTTTTTCTTTGCTTTTATGTAGAAAAACTTTAAATTTCATTTTAATAATGAAATCCTTAATAAAATATTTTTTTAGTGTGTCTTGTCTTGAATAGTAGAAAATCCAAGTGTGTTTTTAATAAAATATTTTTAAAATATTTATTTTAAAAACTCTCAATTCTCATGTGTGGATTTGCCTTAGTCAAAATGGTCATACTAAAAATTGTCTGCATAACATTGATGGGTCTTGAATCAAAGTTGGTTTACAACTTTTCAAGTTTTACACTGGAATTTTTATATAAAATATAGATTTATATATATTTACCCTGGTCAATCACTTCGACGAATGACCCACCGTTTAAATCAATGACTCAATAATTCAGTATTTTAGTCAAGTCAATGATAGGGTCAAATTTAATAACATCGCTCCAAGTTATATGTTCTTTATATTTGAATAAACATAAAAGAAATATTTTGTGATATAGTTAGTTAAAACATTTTTATGAAATATTTTTTATCTAATTATCGTAAATTTTTTAAATTAAAAAGGTATTTCTTTCAATAAAAAACATAAACAAACAAACTTAAAAATACATAAATAGATTTGAGAAGAATTATATTCATAAAATTTTTATTTTCAAACTATACTATGTACTGGGAAAGTACATAATAAAATTTATATAAACTAATCCTTCTCCAATAATTTACATTTCGCAAGTCAAGTAAAAAACAAATCAAAAGTCACACATAATGCACGCGGCTTGATTGAATGACCTAAGCCGGCGGAGTCGGTAAACTAATAACCCCAATCAGTTCGGAAATTGTCAATAAAAATAACTGTATGCAAATTAATTAGGAATAGTAACTTTGAATTTGTCGCGACTGATTAAACTTGTTCATTTTTATTATATATTTATATTCCTGTTCTTGTTATGAGGTGGGATCCCAGGATTAGGTCCATTAGGATTTAGGAGTTTCTTAAAGGTAGACACACATGTTGGGCGAGTAATAGAAAATGTGAAAAATATCTCCACGTGAAAAGAAAAGAAAAGAAATAGCAAAAAAGACCATAAATATAAAAGTTTTTTAAGGAATGGCAATTCAGTGTTTTGAAAACAAATCACATAATAAAGAAAAGATGAATCGTATTGTGAATCTTATTATATTTATCAGATGAAAGCGTGTGGTGAGAGGTACGTAGCTGATATTGTGATTCACTCGCTCGCAACGCTGCCACGTACACCGACCATTCATCCTTAGCGCAGGTCCAACGAATGCAACGTACGTAAGCTTAAGCTGTTCCTTCGACTTTCGAAGAAGTCATGGATTGACCGTGCACCACGTGGCTTCATTTTAATTTTTGACTTTTCGCAAAATGTTGAAGGCAGTGTTACGTTACGTCGTTACTTTATAGTTTTGTGATTGAACACTTCTGTATATGATCATCAATAACTACCTCATTAGAAGAATCGCTCCTCCAACAAATTTGCGAGACCAGCTCTACGTCCATGCGGAAATTTTCAAAAGAAAAACTTTGATTGATGATGGTATATAGTAAAATTTTAAAAGATCTAGGGGATACATTTAATTAAGATGTCTAATACTTTTTTTGGTGTTTTTAATAAAAGTTTAAATTTCTATCAGGTTCTTTTTCATGTAAAGCTAAGAGTGTATATTGTTTACTAATGATTATCTTTTTAGTTAAACCTAATTTTTAACTTTAAAAATAAAAAAGTGGATTAAGTAAACTCAGTTAACAACTTGGCATGTATAAAAACTTTATTATGTATTACAATATAATTTATTATTAAATTCATGATAATCTTATTAATAGTTGATACCCGAAATGATTGTTTCATGAAAATGTAATTAATACTAAAAGTTGCAAACTCGTAATGGAATGACCGTAATGCAGTCATGTCACGCGTTGTCTTCGTTAAACTTTTATTAAAATTAGTAAGTAATTTGTGTAATGAATGTTTTTTTTTAATTTTTTTTAATGTGTAAGTGATTGATATTAACTATTATAACTAGTAACTATTTTTAATTGATTTATATATAATATTTAATTTATTTATACTTTGAAAATATTCTAAAAAAGAATTGATAAAAAATAAAATCCAAAGACTGATAAAAACTAGAAAATTGATAAAGAAAGAAAAACAACAAAATATTTAAGAGAGAATGAGACAGTAAAAATATATATTTTTCATTTGTAAAGTCACGTGTCAGATAAAGAAATTGAATATATTACAAAAATTCATTTAAAAAATTTATACTTATTTTATAATATAAAGGTGGATTTAATATTTTTTAAGATATATATAAGTTTACCACTTTTCATATACAATTTATATTTTGATAACTTTAAAAATATAATAACATTCAAAGTCAGCGTATTATAATGACGAATGAAAAAAACGGAAGAGAGATTAAAAAGAAAAGTAAACAAAAGAGTTATGTGAATTTTTTGGGGAAAAGAAAAAGGGTAGGTATCATTATCAATATCCCTTTTTGAAAAAACTCTTTCAAAGTATAAACGAACAAAAGTGTAAAAAACAGAAAAATACCACAAAATTTATTGTTGTAATGTAATGTCAATATATAAGTTTTAAATCATCACTTAATTATGTAAATTTTTGAAATAATTCTTATGATAAGAAATTATTTTTAATGACCTAATAATATATGATTAAATGATTGTGAATTTTTTTTCAGTAACAATATATCCAAAGTATGAATTGGGTATATTACTATTAAAGGCTAAATGTTAAATTGAGTATTTATTGTTAGTTTGTAAGAATTAAGAACATGCATCAAGGACGATACATATACGGAAAACGCATGATTGAAAATAGGAATAGTGAATAGGTTTATCGGTTTGTGTTTTGGAGATTGTCACCGGTCAACTTGCCGTTTGGAGTTAGACTAAGTCAAATTAATTACAGCTAAGATCGATAGCCCATGCACTCTCCACGCACCTCCTAATCGCGTGGTCCCATCACTTTTCTCAAGTCAACCTCCTTCCTCGTGATTCCTGACACTAAATCTCACGCAAACTTCATCCTTTTAAAAAACTAAAACAAAATATATACAATAAATAAAATAAAATTATTCATGTTTACTTTTGGTTCATAATTAAGAAAATTGCTTATTGTTAATGCTTTTTTAACAAACTTTTAATTATAATTTGTTCTAAACCAAATTAACTTCATTCAAACACATACTAATTGTATTGTAATTGAGAAAAAACATAATTTAAAATTGATTCAATTTTTAAAATCTCTTGCATTAGAATGTTGATAAATACAAGAATTGCTCACTTGATCGATTTTCGCATATAAATTGATTTTAATGTAAATTTGAATTCTTACTCGTTGTTAAGGGGTAATTTTACGCAATAAGAAAAAATTAAATAAATCTTTAATAAAAATTAGCCAGATTCAAAGAAGACAGTTGAGAAGTAAATTTTTTTTATTTATCCAAGAGTAAAAAAGTGCCCATTCTTTAATATTTTTTTTTTACTATCTAACATTTTTTTTTGTTGGAACAACATGAAAAGGTCTTGTTAAATAAAATTAATAAACTTCAATAATTAGTACAAATTATATTTATCCTGTTAAGGGATTATGAACATGGTATGACTATGAGATCGATGCGAGAAAATATATGACATTCAAAAAATCATTTTCTTTTCTTTTCCTTTTTTGGAAAGAAAAAAGAATCACTTTTGTAATGGTCATCTACCAATATTTGAATTAAAGCAAAATATAAAGGTAAAAAGGGTAGTAAAACCATCCCTATTTCCTTACCTTGTGGGGGGAAAGAAACATGATGCACACATATCTAGGAGCTGTAAACAGTGTGGACTTTAGGCAAGTCTGAAGTCATAACCAAGAGAGAAGGGCATCAAAGGTGTACCACCAAGTCTCAAATCATAACCAAGAAAAGCATGAAAGAAGGGCATCATCAAAGTTACCTCGAACCCTATGTCACTCACAAAGTCAAAACCTAAATAACACCACACAGAGCCCCCCCAGTTTTTCCACCCATTACCATTTAAGCCTCATCTGACAAAAGTAACAATGACCTCAAGCTATTAAAAGAACACCATAACTGTAATTTCCCATAAAAGCCGAACCCATCTTTTTTTTTTTTTTTTTTTCAATTGACAAGCCAAACCCCATCTTAAATCTTCACTTTCTTTTGTTCTTTCCTTATCTTGCAGCAAAGCAAAGGAAGAAAAAAATAAAAGAAAAGAAAAAAAGAAAAAAAGAGAGAGAAATGGACCAGAATCTGCATAACTAATCCGTCAAACTTGGGAAAGTCATTTTCACGAAGGCTGCATCGAAATTCTTACGGTTTAGAAAAATTAGAAATTGAGAAAACGAAGTCTTTGGAAATTCAGTCCCTTTTATCTCCTCTGTCTCAAACCAATACGCGGATTCGGCCGAATTTTTAATTCTCTTTCTCAATCTCAATCTCTTATTCTTAACCCTTTGAACATTCAAACTCCACCCAACAACAACAACAACAACAACAACAACTGTTTCATAGTCTCTCTTCTCTTGCGCGTGCTGTGCCGATTGGGAAGCCAGAAAGTTTTTCCCAGAAAATTCCACAGATCTGATTAAGCGTCGGAAAGTTTCGCAAGTCCTTGTCTTTCTCCGTTAAAATTGCTTGGTTCCTGAAATTAGTATCTGGGTTTCGAAGATAACATCACCCAAGTGGAGTTTCAAGGTCGTTTGTATCATCTTGTGGATTTGGAAACCCTAGAATTTCCTTTGCCGGTTTCAATGGCTTCAGGGGCTATTTTCTCGTCGCTGCGGCGGAGAAGGTCGCCGACGTTGGAAGCGTTTCTTGCCCCCGTTGACCTGAGCGACGTTGCCCTGGTTCAAACCCTTGTTTCCGTGGTCAGCGAGCTTGTGTCGTGCTTTTCAAAGCGCTCCTTCCACTTCCAGCGCAAGAACTCGCGGTCTCTGATCCGAAAGGTGGAGGTTTTTCAGTTGCTTTTGGAGTATTTGAGTGATTCTGGAACGTGTCTTCCACCTACCGCGGTGCTTTGTCTTAAGGAGCTTTATCTGCTGCTGTATCGGTCCAAGATTCTCCTTGATTATTGCGCGCAATCGAGTAAGTTGTGGCTTTTGCTTCAGAACCATTCAATTTCTGGTCACTTCCATGATTTGAACCAAGAGATTTCGACCCTTATGGATGTTTTTCCGATTAAGGATGTTGAGTTGAGTAAGGATGTCAGGGAACAGGTTGAGCTGTTGCAGAAGCAATCAAGGAGAGCTAAGCTCTTTATAGACATGAAAGATGATGCTCTCAGGATCCGCTTCTTTTCATTTCTTGATGAGTTTGAGAATGGTCGGATTCCTGGTTCAGCTGAATTACAATCTTTCTATGTTGAGAAATTGCAGATTCTGGATGCTACGAGTTGTAGAGCTGAAATTGAAGCTTTGGAGGAGCAGATTGTTAATCATGAGGGTGATATTGAGCCTACAATTTCTGTGCTTAACGGGTTGGTGGCCATGACTCGGTATTGCAGATTTTTGCTTTTTGGATTTGAGGAAGATGAACTTGATTTGGAAAATGGAAGTCAGAAGAAGCGTAAAAAGAGATTGATTACTAAAGAAATTGCTGAAACATTTTTAACTGTTCCAAAGGACTTTTGCTGTCCAATATCATTGGATATGATGAGAGACCCAGTGATAATTTCCACAGGTCAAACTTATGATAGGAGTTCCATTTCCCGGTGGTTGGATGAAGGGCACACAACTTGCCCAAAAACAGGTCAAATGCTTGCCCACACTCGCGTTGTTCCTAACCGTGCTCTGAGGAATTTGATTGTGCAGTGGTGCACTGCACATGGAATTCCCCTTGACCCCCCAGAGGTCATGGATGCAATGGTTGAAGCTTTTGCATCAGCTTGTCCCACCAATGCTGCCCTTGAAGCCAACAGAGCCACGGCAACACTTCTCATTCAACAGCTAGCTAATGGATCACAATCTGGAAAGACTGTAGCCGCTCGGGAGATACGATTGCTGGCAAAAACTGGAAAAGAAAACCGTGCCTTCATTGCAGAAGCAGGAGCAATTCCATATCTTAGCAACTTACTTTCATCCCCTAATGCTGTTGCCCAGGAGAATTCCGTGACCGCATTGCTCAACCTATCCATTTTTGAGAAAAACAAAAATAGGATCATGGATGAGGAAGGTTGTCTGGGATCAATTGTTGATGTGTTGAGATTTGGGCACACAACAGAAGCAAGGGAAAATGCTGCTGCGACATTGTTCAGCCTATCTGCCGTTCATGACTACAAGAAAATAATTGCAGATAAGATGGGAGCTATTGAAGCCCTTGCAGGGCTATTGCAAGAAGGGACACCAAGGGGAAAGAAGGATGCTGTCACAGCTTTATTTAATCTTTCCACACACACTGAGAATTGTGTTAGAATGATAGACGCAGGTGCAATAACAGCTCTAGTTGGGGCTTTGGGGAATGAAGGAGTTGCTGAGGAAGCAGCAGGTGCATTGGCCTTGATAGTTAGGCAACCCATTGGGGCCAAAGCAGTAGTGAGTGAGGAAGCAGCAGTTGCTGGATTGATTGGAATGATGCGTTGTGGAACACCAAGAGGTAAAGAGAATGCGGTGGCGGCCTTGCTTGAGTTGTGCCGGAGTGGCGGTGCAGCTGCAACAGAAAGGGTGGTTAAGGCGCCAGCTTTGGCTGGATTACTTCAAACCCTGCTTTTTACAGGGACAAAGAGGGCAAGAAGAAAAGCAGCTTCACTTGCTAGAGTGTTTCAGAGATGTGAATATGCATCTATGCACTATGGTGGATTAGGTGTAGGCTATGCATTTGCTAGCAATTCAGCTCCACCTAGGGATACAAGCTTTGCCGGTGATGTTTCAGTACCAATGTCCATTTCTGTACCTGTTTTATAGTGGTAATACGTCTGTGTTTATTACGTTCCCAATTTTTGTTGCTAGTCTTTACAGATTCTTTCATTGAAATTAAAGTCATAAGAAATTATAGCAATACCATGTGATGTATTCTAAGAGATCGACCAGTGTTGTTGAGCAGATTGCTTCAGCATGTGTAATGAGTTATATCAAGCAAAATTAGAGAATGCTTTACAGAAGAGTTGGACCATTTAAGGTGTCATATGTATTTATTTTTTCTCTTGGCCACCACTGCAGATAAATCTTTAAGGTCCCAATTTAAGGGATCTGCCATAGCAATGCTACTGATTTTTCACAATCGATGCTGGTCATAGACCCATTACAATGCACCCATGACATACGCAATCATATCATTTTTGTGTGTGGATATATTGAGTAATTGAACACATAACTTTTTATATAATTACTCACATCTCTCTAGTGGCTTTTTATTTTTCATTTTCTTGCCTTAATTAGATGGAGACTCGTGTGCAATTGTGGACATCTGTGCTGGTCGCGTTATTACTTTTTATTCATGGACAATCTAACAACTATATACACTTGGCTGCTTCTTCCTCTGCCTAGCATTTTCCATTTATATCGTTAACTGTGACATACGCTTCAAATGATGGCCTAGTGACATGCGAGTATGTAATTAGAACTGTTACATCAGGCTAGATTTTAGAAGTTAATATGATCTGGTTCTCGATTGTCTTCTTTTGCATAAAGCGTGTTAGTCTGAATTCAATTTTTCTCAAGTCTTCAGTCAACAAATTGGCAGTGTTCAGACTGAATTGTTTCCTTGCTGGGGATTCCCATTAAAGTATGCCACAAATGTGTAACATGCAGGATACTTGATTCTTAGTTAGCATATTTCACTAATTCCCTTCCAAGAAGAATCTAGATTATACGGGTGAATGTTCTATTTTGGTTCACGATGACATCAATAGACTTTTTCTGGCATAAAGTTAGAACGAAGGTAGATCACAAAAAAGATGCTCTGTGCCTTGACTTTTGCTTTTTAATTCATGTGTTCAGATTCAGAAAAAGCTGTCATGCATTTGTATCGTCAAAAGGGCTGAGGGTATTTTTTCTAGAAAATTCTTCAAACTTATTTTATTTCATCTTAAGAAAAGTTAGAAGATATTTGAAGGGATAAGATATTATGATTATTTTTTTTCAAGTCTATTTTGTCTATTTTATCTATTCATTTCTAATACTGTTATATCAAAATATCAAGAGGAGAGAAAAATAATGAAAGTTCGTTGAGATTCTAATTTAATGATTTTGGAGATAAGTAAATAAAATAGATACAAAAAAAATATAGGTAGAATATCTTATCCTATATCTTAAATATGGATATTATTCTTGAAACTAAAGTGATTGACCCCTTTGAGTGGTGCAGGATGGTCATGACACTCATCACTTATTCTTTTATCACATAGTCACTCAGACTACCGAACCAGGTTTGCTCCAATTAGATTCTTGTTATAGTTGCATGTCACAGCTACATTACCAAGCTGATTTTTCTGCCGTATGTTTCAAGCAAAATAAAAAAAAATGCTTAGCCAAAGAAGAATAAGAAAAATATTGAATATAATTTATTTAATGTGAAAAATATGATTTTCAACGATTTGTTTATAACGTTTCCTCTATCAATTTCAATTTTAATACACCAACAATTTTGAATCCCTTATATTTTACCTTAAATTTGGACACCGAGAAGACAATTCTTTTGTGATTCAAAATTCTCTCATTATACCTTTCTAGACATTCAAAGCAGTTGAAGGGATTCCAATCCTCGAAATATTTTTCCATGTTGTCCAAAAAATCCTTGAAAGAATAGTCATGGTAGCTTACTTCTATTACCTCTTTCTGTGAAGTGATTGGAGCTACAATTGACTACGGTATTCCAATTTCCAAGTTGTCACTGGCCTCCATTAAACTCTTGAAAGGAAACTTGAGGGTATTAATTAGAGACACACAGATGGCTCATTGCTTGTGACAGTTTTATTACAAGCATAATTTTCTTGAGATAAATTTTTTGGCACGGGTAAGGTAATGTAAGGTGGGGCATGCCTTCACCAGCCGAGTATTTAATATTTGAGACTAAATCAATGCCAAAGAAAGTGGAGGCACATAGGACACGTATTTGAAAAACAATTGGAGATTCTACTCGATACTTATTTATATTCAGGGACATTGGTGGTAGAAGTGATATGCTGAGGTTGGAGTAAGAAGGTTTTTAATGATGACAATAACACTGTAATGATTCTCAATTGCTTTATTGATCCCAAGCCATTAGCCTTTGTTCCTTCATCATTTTATCCGACCAAGCAGCAGCTCAAGTGGATCATATTGGGTCCCTCTCAACGGGTTAATTCACGAGTTGATTTTTCACTCACTAAAATTATATAACTTTAGATTTAATTTAATTTAAAGATTTTCATTGTTATATATAAGTCTATTTCCAAAATTAGCCTCATTATCATATATTGCCGCATATGTTCACTTAAGGACTTTTTTGTCTTTCTGTCATATTAATCAAAACGGTGTGCTTTGTATAGATGAGTGATAATATAGCTAGTCAGCTGGTTGCCTTTCTCATTCGTACGAATACATCTCTCTCTTGAATATTCAGTTAGAAAAATCGCTTTGTTTGCTCTGATAGGGTTTCGCTCAAAAACCCAAAATCTGACCTTGTTTTGCTGTTACCGTTCCTTCTTCTTTGTTGTTCTTTTTCTGCTTGTTTTGCAGGTCACCAATCGGTAGTATATTGGTGGGTCTTGAAGAAGTGGTGCTACGGTGGTGCAGTGGAGGTGAATCCTAAAGACTCTCTCGGTTGCAAGGGTTGCTGTTCTTGCTTGGAGGATTCTGGTAACACAAGGGTGCTTGTGTGCTTCTTGTTTGGGTGTTTTGATGTTACTGTATTTTAATAGCATGCTATATTTCTAAGTTTCTTGATCTGTCTGAGTAATTTGGGGCTTTAGGGTTTTTCGTTTGGGGCTTTGGTTATTTTAAGCCTGTAACTGAATGTTGTAATTTGTTCTTGATTTACTTAGTGCAAGTGCCAGGGAGTGGTCTCCCTAATTGATCCTTGACGTAGGAAACTTGGTAACACAAGTTTCTGAACAAGTAAAAATCCTGCGTGTGATTTTCTCTCCTTACTCCTCTTTTCTGTTTAAAGAAATTAAAGAAAACTAGGAATACATCCACTGTAATTTTAACAATTGGTATCTAGAGCTTAGGTTGCGTGCCTCCTGTTGCCTGCTTCTGTGCTTTGTAATTGTGATCCATGTTGATTGCCTTCTTTCTTGCAATTCTTTATTGCATGCTTTATTCTGCTTCTGCAATTACTGCTGTTTCTGAATTCTTTATTTCAAGAATATTATCTGTTATCTTTTCCGCGCTTCCTATCCCCTTCTTTCTTGTATCGCGTCTGTTCTGGTTGCTGTCTTGGTTGTTGAAACTCATCAAGATGGGCACTGCACGCGTGGAGGTGGAGAAATACGATGGCAAAGGAGACTTCAATATGTGGAGGAAGAAAATGAAGGCTGTACTGGTTCACCAAAAGTGTTCCAAGGCCTTAGGTGGTGCTAGGGATCTTCCTGACACCATGAGTGCTGAGGATAAGGAGGAAATGCTGGAAACTGCATTCAGTTTGTTGATTTTGCACTTGACTGACAATGTGCTTAGATAAGTGGATGATGAAACCACTGCTGCTGGGGTTTGGTTAAAGCTGGAATCCCTTTTGATGACTAAGTCCTTATCAAACAAAATTTATCTTAAAGAAAAATTGTTTGGATTTAAAATGGACTCTAATAAATCATTAGATGAGAACTTAGATGAATTTAAGAGGATAACCATAAGCTTGGCTAATACGGATGAGAAGATCTGTGATGAAAACCAAGCCATTATACTCCTAAATGCCTTGCCTGATGCTTTCAAGGATGTGAAAGCTGCAATTAAGTATGGTAGGGAGTCTTTGTCCCTTGAGGATGTGTTGGCAGCTCTTAGGTCTAAGGAATTGGAGATGAACTCCAATAAAAAGGCTCCTATAGAGGGGCTGAATGTCAAAGGGAAATCCAAAAGGAAATCCCAGTTTAACAAGAATAAGGGAAATAATAATAATAATCAAAATAAAAATAAAGACCAAGGTAAGCAGAAGTTAATCTGCTGGTTATGCCACAAGGAAGGGCACATGAAAAAGAACTGCCCGGAAAAGGGAAAGCAACAAGCTGCCCCTTCTAATAATCATAAGACAGATTATGCAAATCTGTTGACTGGTTATGAGAGTGGTGAGCTGTTGGTCTTGTCTGATAACTCCACTGATTTGGAGTGGGTGTTGGATTCTGGGTAGGGGTGGCAATACGGGTCAACCCGACACGACACGTTTTTGACCCGTACACTATTTGACACGACCCTGACACGACCCGTTTTGTAAACGGGTCGTAAAACACAAACCCTGACACGACCCGTTGCGGGTCACGGGTCGACACGACACGACCCGTAAAATTTAAAATTTTAAAAAAAAAGTGGGATTTTTTGAAAAATAAATAAATTAAAAACAATAAAAAATAAAAATAAAATTAAAAAAAGATTAGCTTCTGTTTTTTGAGATTTTTAGTTCCTTCTATTCTTTTCTATACTAAACAATGACTATATATATCAATATATAAATGAATAAAAATAATAATATAATAAAATATTTAATAAAAAAATAAAAAAAGACACTGTGCGGGTTGACACGCGAACCCGCGGGTTAACACGTGACCCGACACGAAAAAAAACGGGTCACATTTACACAACCCTGACACGACCCGCCCTGACCCGCGGGTTGACACGACACGTGATTTGGCAGGTCGGGTCACGGGTCAACCCGCGGGTCAATACCTGTATTGCCACCCCTAATTCTGGGTGTACATTTCACATGACACCCAAGAGAGAGTGGTTAAGTGGTTTTAAACCATTTGAGGGAGGTAAAGTGTTAATGGGAAATGATGATACTTGTCAAGTAACAGATATTGGGTCTGTCAGTTTCAAGATGGGTGATGGGACTGTCAAGGTCCTAAGGGATGTGAGACTTGTCCCCACCCTAAGGAGAAATCTAATATCCTTGGGGATGTTAGACTTGAATGGTTACAACTTTAAGAGTGAGAAATGAACTCTAAAGGTTGTTAAGGGGTCTAGGGTGGGTATGGTGGGTATGGTGGGTAAGCTAGCGAATGGGTTGTACATTTTAGATGGTGAGGCCATAGGACTGGAGTCCT